CCACTCCGAAAACTGCACTCATATCAGCAGATGTAGTGCTGGCGGCTTAAGACAAACCCAGCAAAAGCTTATGTTTAAAATCAATAGAGTGAGATGGATGGATGGATGGATAGAGGCTGATTGCTGAACGTGCACATAGTCTTCATATAATCTCACGTTTATCCTCCTCCTATATACTCTAGCACAAATGTATATGTGTAAGAGCAATATTACTACTCGTACCACTTTGAATAGCCAACATGCACTTATTTTATACTGCCTCCAGCAAAACATAATTGTTTTATTCGCTGCTATTTTTCATTTAAGTGTTATTTTTCTCACGTTTCGTGTTTTTGGCGACAAATCGACTGCTTTCTTGCACGTTTTTTGATTTAATTGCTGACATTTCAGGTTTTTCGGATAGTTTCCGATAAGAATATTAATTGAATTGGTGTATTCATTGACTAATTAATCGAGTGATTAACCAATGGAGTCTGATGATTCATTTGATTTCTTATTCAAAATTGTTTTAATTGGTGATATGGGTGTTGGTAAAACTTGTGTTGTGCAAAGGTTTGTTGATGTTCGGATATTTGAGATTTCGATGTTATACCCTGCCTGACCTCTTAGTTGTGATGATAATCCTTGTAGTGATAACTTTTTCATAATTAATAATAGTTAGCGGTTAAATGTAATATTCATAATTGTGCATCTAATCATTTTAATAGAAGTAATAATAATACTATGCACAGTAACAATATGATACGGATTATAATAGATTCAAAAACGGGACGTTCATCGAACGACAAGGCACGACTATAGGTGTGGATTTCACTATGAAAACATTGGTGATCGAAGGCAAACGAGTGAAACTTCAAATTTGGGATACCGGAGGGCAAGAACGATTCAGAACAATCACACAGAGCTATTATAGGTTATTTGTGAATGTGTTATTATTCACTTATATCACGGTTTGAATGCTATCCTCTGAATTACTACCATTGAATATATGTCCTTGTCATATAATACCTTTGTTTCAGATCGGCAAACGGTATAATATTATGTTACGATATGACTTGCCGTCAGTCATTCGAGTCGCTACAACGTTGGTTGGATGATGTCTCCAAATTTGCTGCTCCTAATGTTGCAAAAGTGCTTGTCGGTACGTAGTTTGTTGTGTCTTAATCATTAACGTGATTGTTTTTCGCATATCGCAGCATCATTAACTTAAAAATGATTCGTAATTTTCGTCGCATTTATCATTATTCANTTTTGAAAATTTCAGCAACGAAAGCTGACTTGGAAAACGATCGTGTGGTTGACAGTGAAGAAGGCAGTGAACTGGCACATTCTCAAGGAATGTGTATATTTGTGGAGACGTCAGCAAAAGGCAATCTGAATGTCGAGAATGCATTTCTAGAGCTGGCATTGCAGTTGAAGAGGCATTATGAGGCTGGTGCTCAACTGGACGCACAATTGGATTCAGCATTTAAGTTATCATCACAAGGCGGTACTACCACAATTTCATCGAAGTGGTCGAATTGTTGTAATTTTAATTGATCGTGAGTCACCATTTACTCGATCGATTATACATTGATTATCGTTTAGGTTTGAGATTGTGTTCCAGTCTTGTCGACATCTTCTGCATCCATTTTTCTTTTGTATGTGTCACTTGTGATATCTGACGAAACTTTATCGTCATCATACTAACGACTTTTGTAGATATATTTTCATATGTCCCGTTTCACTCGATCCCATCCCGTCGACACATCCATCGAATGCATTGTTTGTTTCTAAGCAGCTCTAGTCTCAGCAGTCTCGTTCTTGTTTTTGTAATATTATATTCATTGGTATTCCATCATTTAGACTCTTCTAAAATCAATTTTCTTCCCAACCATCCATCCATCCATCACGAATCACGATGGAAATTTATTCGAAACGAGGGATTAAACGACGGAAAATGACTCAAAAACTGAACGAAATGAGCCAAACGAGTGATTTGTTGTGTGTACTGTGAGCGTCGTATTACTTTAATAATGGTACGTACATTTGAGTTATTCTCAAAAACACCAACTAATAATTCTTTCCGTTAAGATGATCGATTATTGCTGTTGTCCTCATTCATCACATTTTATTCTATTTTAGTGCAAACATTTATCGTTATCAGTGATTAATGACACATTCGCGATTGTTGTATCACCGTCATTTGATTATTG